TGAAAATGTTGTATTATATTATTATTATTTATTTTACCTAATTTAACCTTAAGTACCCGAAAGAGCTTGCTATTTTTACAAATTTAGCTACTTACATGGGCCATCATTTGTATTTGCTGTTGACTGTTGAGGACACTTAACCATATTAATTTTTTTAATACTAATGGTAGTAGTGCAGTAAATAAATTTTATGCAATTGATTAATTCATCAAAGAACATAGAATAATAAACATCACAATTTTTCTGGCTTTTTCATGTGTTTCTTGTGGGAATGAAGCTTGTACTGATAGAGAAATTACAAATATTTCTGTATAGAAAGTGACGTAATACAATATATCATTTGATAGATGAAAACCTTGGCTTTTTATTGGTTAAAAATAATATAATATTAAATGTAAGAGTAAAATATTGACAAATCCTGAAAGAGAGGATGTGACAGGTAGATGTGGCAAGAGAGGTCTGTAGCCAAACAAAATTGAAGTCTATGAAAATTGTGCTTTGTTTGAGCGATTACAATATTATAATGAGTAATTTACATTAAATTTTGTACTTCTTGGAGGGGTGATAAATAAATTAGAGAAGAGCGGATGCCTACAGTAGCAAGAAGGAATCTTCAATAGCTACGGCACTTAAAAAATTTTTTTAGGCAGGATTAGGGTAAATTAATCTGAGAGATCTTTTTTTCCTTTTTATTGGCTATATTTTTGTGTATCAGCAATACCAAGCATGGGACTCATGTATACCCAGTTCAATTTTATTACCTATTAGGTTCTCTACCAGCCTACCCTCAAATTGAAATTCTTTTAGGCAGGATTAAATCAAAAGGGGGTTTGACCTTCTGTGTCCAAAACTGTAATTATGTTTCAAATTGGTCAAGAGATGATGGAGCTATGAGCAAAAAGTTTGTATTTGAAAAACTCTGAGCCATTCTATGAGCTGTTATGCTGTGGCTAAAGATATCACATTTCTTACACTTGGGGGAATTATGGATCTTTTTTAAATATCGTGTTATAAAATTTAAAATTTTAAACTTGTACACTATTAAAATATAGATTATTAGCTACAATTTTATGCTATGCTAATAGGCATAACATGAACAAACAAAAAGTAGTTGAATTAAATTTTGAACGTAACTTACTCTAAAACCTTGTGACATGCACAGTAAAGGATGCTCATGGCTGAAAAGTTACTAGACATTTTCTTCAACAGTCAAGGAGGTCACATTGTGCAGAGAGTGATGAGGTCTCACCAAAAAAACAAACAAACAAGAAATAAACTAGATTAATTAGGTGTGGCAACCTTGTTCAGTTGCAATATCATCAAGTCACTTTTTTCTCTGGTTAATCAACTGTTGCATTATTTTGTGACGGTTGAGGTGTTTGGTATTTCTTGCAGGGAGGGGTAATTACTACTGAAAAGTTACTAGACAGTTTCTTCTTCAAAAAGCCAAGGAGACCATGCTGTGAAGAGAGTGATGAGGTCTCACCAAAAAGAAAGAAAGAAACTAGTTTAATTTGAAAAACAATTTGTGGCAACCTTATTCAGTTGCAATATCATCAATTCAGTTCTTTTTCTGCATTTTATCTCATGTAAACATGTAAGGGTAGGCGCGAGTATCAAGGCTAGTGGTGAGCAAGAATTACACATATAGAGAGCAGCATTGAATGACGAAAGCTATCTTTTGGAAATATATATTCACCATCGGAAAATTATAACTGATAAAGTTCACTTCCAAATGAGGAAAATCTTGATTCAAGACACTTGGAATAACTGTAATTCTCAGACTAGTTTTCTCATCACAGTCTACATTGTTCATTAGTCTGTAGTTGACACTGGCAGTAGTGTATTCTCTTTTTTTTCTTTTCCTGGCACCTTGCTTTATAGTGAAGTGCTCTTAATATGCCCAGAACCTGATTTCATTTCCAGTTCAAGTTTGAAACTTTTTCAAAAGATTCTCACAGTGTGTACCTGAATTTTTTCCTTGACTTCTAAGTTATCCTTTGCTTTTTCTACCATATGCAATATCTGATAGCATAAAATATTTTCTTTTTCAAAATGCAAAGACAAAATAGAACATGCACTCAACACATCTTTGTACAAGCAATGTTTCGACAGAAAAGTACACTTTAGTCTTCTTTCAGAGTCCATGAAATTTAGCCAACATTACTCTCTTCTTGCAACTGGCAAAGGAATTCTCTATTGCTCAAGAACTAATTACCCAGTTACTCAGGAAATGATTTACTCCACATCTTATTTGTGCAACAAATTGTGTACCATGCACTTTGGGAAAATTAAAATGCTGCACACTAAATGCACTGGCAGTTGTCAAAGTGCCTTTTGAACTTTCCAGATTGTGTAAATAAGTAATATATAGCTGTCATGAAGTTTTTCACATCAGCAAATGATTGAGATACACTATCATTCAATGCCACTCCAACTCTATGGGAAATACAGTGAATGCTACAAGCCAAAGGCATTTATCATTTTTCAGTTTTGTTGGCAATCCATTGTTAACTTTAGTATTAAAAGAGGCTTCTTTGGCTATAGCTGAAACTAGCGGAGAAATACACTTACCCACTAGAATTGAAATCTTTTCATCACCTTTGAATACATCTTTAATGTTCCCCTCTAGCTTACTTCCACATACATAATCAAAGCTATCAATGTTCTGTAAGGCAACACAGAAATATACTGGTATACCTTGTTTGAATGTCAGTTCTTTTTTCTTACCTGACTTCCATCACTATGCATTGCAAAAGCTATTGATGAATATAAAATTACTGTCACTTTCTAATGAATGGCTTTTGCAATAATGTTAATAATTTTTTTTGTTCTGTTGGCATTGTGAAAATTTGAAATCAGTTGTACTCCATTTTGATTTTGCACTTTAACTAGTTTTGAATGCTGACAGAGGCTGTTCTTCCACAGCATGCAAGTAAGCTGTTTTAATAAACTTTCTGTATGCCTCCTTATCTTGTGTATGAAGAGCTACATTTATCTGAGGTTGAAGAGAGATGCTGAAAACAGAAGGACCATCTTTAGCAGTACCACTGGTGCCAGGAAGAGTCTTCTCATGATCTTAGAACGACTTTTTAAAACCTTAAAAACACAAATACATAAAAGTATAAGTTTTGCATAATATATGTTATAATAAAACAATTTAATAAAAACAGCAAACTTGAATCATTAAAATGATTGGAATTTATGTAAAAGATAATCTTAGTGACTGATAACAAAGAAATTTACTAAAAATGATGTGTATATGCCTACCAGTTTATAAAAAATAAACAAACAGATAATACTGTACATAAAATATAAATGTTTAATTATGTTTCAATTGGTACTTAAGTAATGAAGGCCACAAAATCAGTTCTTACATTACCTCAGTACATGCTCACTTGACACAAAGTTAACAAATACCCAAACCTAAAGTTCACAAGTAACTTGATAATCAGTTAAAGTGCATATTATCACATTAGACTTTAGCAAATAAGTTACAAATGCATACAAAATCAATGATGCTTTTAATGTAAAATAAGCCTAATTAAATGCTGAATGTATCTAACATGCAAGTGTCTTGGGAACAACCATTTTTCCTCCACTTTGTGTAAATGATTGAAATTTTCTTACAGACATGGGCCTATACAGGCAGCGTTTGGGTTTACCTTTTAATCAAAGGTGTTATTGTAGTATACTGACTGTAAAATGTAAGTAGTTGATGATACAGACTATACATGCAAAGACAAACAACAAAGGAATGTTGTTATAAATTTGAGTAATGAGTAAAAAAACAAGGTGAGATATATATATACATACCTAAAGCAATTTGGTGTTATTCTGAATTCAAATGGCAAGTGTCAGTACTTCATTGTGAATTCAGTACTGTATATATACTTGACCACCTTCTGCTGACTATGCCCTTCCATTTCTTTTCAGATCGTCTTGCTGTATTAAGCACAACACTTGCACCAACTTTTTGTTACAATTTGAAGAAGAAACTAATTTGTTCACTGAGATTCTATTTGCCAAATGTTGACAACAAAACAATTTTGCTGCTAAACTGAGACATGTTTACAATTGAAAATGAAAGCAGAACTGAAATATGATGACCTCTGATCAATATAACATCCTTACAGCCTTGTGTCATGTAGAAAAGCAAAGTAGTTCATCAAATGTAACTTAGGTCATGATCAAACTTGCTGTTCTGAATTTACTAATAATTAATAACCAATTTTGTAATTTAAACTTTAACACATTTCTCAGTTACAAATATTGGATGCCTACTTAATACAACAATATAGTTCAAAAATATTGTATTACTGTGCTTGTAACAATGCTAGTGTAGGCCAATTAAAGTGCTGAAGTTTTAGCAGCCAACAGGGTCATACAAAGTTATTTGTGAGCTTGTACTGTGTAATAAAAAAATAGCTGATTGCATAAGCAGCAAGTGTCATTACAGGCTTGACAGGGGCTCTGATAAGCTCTTGCAAAACCCATATTTTGTGTGCTTATGAGTGTCAGTGCAGTGGTGCTCATCAAATGTGAAGGCCTGTTATAAAGCTAAAGTAGGATTTTGATACTCCCAGTAGGCTGAGCATAGATAAGTCATTATGTAACCTTTTACTTCACAACAAACATAAAGGCAATATTTCAATTACTTGAATAGTTGAAATAAAAACAGTAATAATTTGGAACACTAATTTTGAGTAGTTGAATATTTTATGACCTTAATTGATTTAATTGTAATATTAATTGATTAATTTATGTGTTTGACACTAATTGATGTTCATAAGTAGTAGATTAATCAATTAAATTGCCAAGCTGTAATGTCGAATAGAATGTATAAAAATTGTGCTTTTGTTAGAAGTTAGTTTAGGCTATTTTAATGCCTACATGAAATGTATTACAACTAAAAGGTTTAACTTGTTACGTAGCATAAGGTGTTTCATAATATTTTCTTCATTGAATAAAATCTGAAGTTTGATGTTTATCCTTTACAGAGCCACAGTCTTGTGTTTCAGGATTCCAGGAAACCGGAGGTCCTCAATTTAATCTTTCCAATGGTGATGTTGACTCTCTAATTCTTCATCCACAGTCACAAATTAGTTTAGGGGATGAATATGTAATGTTAGAGAATAATATTGGTCTTGATATTGAGTCTGACTTTGCCGAATCATTTACCTCAACAGTTTCAATGATGAAAGGAGATTTCTTGGATGGAAAATCTTTCCTGGATTTCCAGGAGGAAGACACTGAAAATATTGACATTAATTGTGTGGATAGGCCTAAAGATCTCATGGAAATTCCTTTAATAGAAGAAGAATTTCAAATAGACTGCCAAGCGGAGATCAAACAAACTCAAAAAAAGCTAGAAAATGAAACTCCTTCAAATGATGTTACTGTTGGAACATTAAAGACTCCACCATGCATTGAGAGAGAAACTGGTGATAGTAATTTGTCAGAAAATTGTACAGATACTGAGAGAAACAATGTTAAACTAACACCCTTCATGCCTAAATCAACTGTTAATGATGAAACCTCAGTAAGTTTGGCTAGTGAGGAATCTGAAAGTATAGCAAAAGAAGCTGTTGAGGAAAATCTAACATTAGAAGACCAAAGCCCTGAACCTCACCAGATGGAAGAAAATATGGTTGAGTCAATTCTTCCAGCTAATTCAGAAACTACAAACTTGAGAAAGAAACTTTTCCTTGAACAGGATTTGTCAGTAAAAAGCAATGAAAATAATTTGAAGGAACTTTTAAAGGTAACAGTTCCATGTCTTCAAGATACTGAGGATTTGAGAAAGCTGTGCCTTAAAATGGGACTACACATGACAGGGATTTACAGACCAAAACGGAGAGTTTCTAGTGTCAAACCATTTTGTCCAGATTTGCCAAGTGAGAAATCGAAAAAAACAATAAAAAGTAAGTGAGAAATCTAATACCTTGATACTGTACTTTAGCAGGCAATTTGAAAATAATAATTCAAATATAAAACTAGTTTATTCATAGAAATCTAGAAATACAGATATTAATGAGAACAATATTTTTTGTTATATTTTGAAGAGTGTGCCAAACTTATGTACAATGTGTAGTGCATGATGTAGAAAGTAAGTCATGTCATTTTATTTTTATATATGGTAATCAGATTTGAATTTTATGGTGTGAAAAAGTTGGATTTTTTTAATAAACTTTTTTAATGTGCACACAAAAAAGATTGTAGTTAAGAGTTTATGAGAGTCTAAAAGTGACCTTTGAACTAACAAAATTATACTTTTATGCTTCTCTTGTAATTGTAAGCTTGTTCCTTTTTACAAAGCTATTTAAATTGTTTTAAAATTTAGAAAATAATTGTATGACGTTATGAAACTAAAATATTCAACTTTGATCTCTGATGGAAGAGGAGTATGAAGTTTCTTTGTAAGTTAGATATGTTGAAGCTCAATATGTTATCCTATTCCCAATGCTGCCACTTTTTACTTTTTTAAATTCTGATATGATACCTTACCTCCTCTCACATAATAGATTTTCTTGACTTGTGTTGCTTTCAATATGCACAGTTTTTGCTTGCCACTAGTCTTGATACTTCCATCTACCCTCACATGTTTACACGTGGTATAGCTGTGCTGTAGCATGTAAATAAGCATGCAACAAACCTCTACCAATAGGAGTGTGACACACCCTCCTAGTGCAGCTGACTCTCTCTATACTGTAGAATACTTTCATCACTTTTGGATTTGGTATTCTAGTGTGAAGTTGGGCTCTAATTTTGCTCTGTATTTTTTCATTTTTGTGAGCAATTTTCAGTTAACTTTATTGTGTTTTGACGAGTATGTTACCTTTTGTGAATTTCCCCTGTTTCTTTTTGATTTTTCCACCTCTCTCCTTATTCTGCACCTTTGTTGGGTTATTTAGTGTGTCCCCCTTCCGATATTCAAATACATGCTGATCAATTTTTCCCCCAATTATGTTGAGGTGCCAGCATGCCTTGTCCTCCATACTTAACTGACTCCCATGCATTGCTTTATCATAGGTCAGATTTTCTGTATTTGGACTCTTATATAACTTGGGAGTCTTTGATTCAAGCATGGGGATTTGATCCAGAGCCTACATTGAGTTTTTTCCTCAGCTTAGGTTATCACTTCTTCAGCTTACACTCACCACTGTCCTCCAATGTCTTTCTTACATTCACCTCCTTTCTGAGGCTTTCCACTATTCCCTTGAGGTGTTTTTGGCGGATACCCATAACCTTATTGTTTCCATGTTGGCATGCCTATCTTCTTTAGACATACATGGTTTCTTTGTTGATGAGATCTTCTTGCAAGGATGCCTTGTGTCACATGTGTATCTCCCTGCTTGGCTCTGTTTGGCTTCCTTTTTGCACCAGTCTGTATTTGTAAATTTTCCTGATATATTGAAATCTAGGGTAGAGGCTACACTTCAACATTCCTCCCTTACCTCCTTAGTTACCCATATTTTCCAATCCTCTCCCCTCTACCAGTGCCTTCTTCTCTGGGTTTCAGAAACATGCTGCCAAATTAGTCATCTCTGTGTTTTCCAATGCCAGTTGTGTCAGTGACTATCTCATAGGTTCTGGCATGGTTAGCCAGGTTTGTTCATCTGTGGCATCTATTTGCCACAGATTCCTGAGTTTTGCAAGTTTTATCAGAATGACTTTCTCTTCATTTTTCTCCCCTCACCCATTTATCTATTCATTGCATTTTCTTCTCTCCTCCAAGGGATACCATTTTATGCCAGCATCTCTCAGAAGTGGTTCAAGATCTTTTACACAAGGACACTGTTGAACAAGTACATCACTCTTCTCCGGGGTTCTATTCCTGGCATTTGTGATTCTCAAAAGACTGGGGATTGGTATCTTACCCTTGACCTATTCATCCTGAATCATTTCATTGACCTTTCTCGGTTCCCCTTGGAGTCTTTCCTCACATTTAAGTGGGTGTTAACTGTAGGTCTCTGAATGGTGAAGGGTGAAGTATTGGATGCATAGCTTCATATTGCTACCTCTCCAGTCTCCAGAAATTACCTTAGTTTTGTTCACAGAGGTCTTGTTTTCCAATTTTACACTTTACCTTTTTTTGCCATTGGTGCCGTATGTCTTATGTCATGTGATTAGTGCCTTTGGTCACCATCTTCACGACAAAGGTTCCATCAGCACATGGACGACTGGCTACTTTTAGCTCTGTTCCAACAATTCTCTCCCACTCCTTTACATTTCCTCCTACAGGATGCTGCTTGTGTGAGATGGCTAGTTAAGTTGTAAAAGTCCTATCTCAATCCCACTCAATATCTTATCCATTTGTGGGTGTTTTTCAACACTTTCCTCTGCAGGGCCCACCCTTCTCTTCTTTTGAGATTGATGGAGTTTTTGGTTTTCAAAGTCAAATCCTCTCCTTTTCTCCCTGTGCATGAGATTCTATCTCTTTTGGAGATCTGGGGATTCATGGAATCCCTTATACTTAGGTGTCATGCACACATGTGGTCTTCAGTGGATGTTGCACGATCATTGGAATCTCATTTGGGATCCCTTGGATTCTATCCTCCTCTCTCTTTTTCCTTCCAATAGACTTTGGCTGGTGGCACAACAGAGACAAAAACCTCAGCTAGCATTCTTCTGCTTCCTTTCTGTCCTGTTTGGCACCTGTTCACAGATGCATCTCTTATGGGATGGGGAGTGTATATGGGTTCTCAGAAGATTGCAGGTCATTGGACAGTGGTCGAATCTTCCCTCCACATTATTCTATTGGAACCTTTTGCAGTTTGTCACACCTTAGATCATTTTATACCTTTGGTATGGAGCCATTTGATCATGGTCCATTCTAACAATTCGACCATTGTCTCTTACATCTATTGACATAGGGGCACATGTTCACATTTGCTTTTCTTTCAAATGCTGAATCTGCTTTTCTGGGCCCAGTCTTAGCAAGTCTGCCTTCTTGACTGGGTGCTCTGAATCTTGTAGCAGATCTGTTATTTCGTTTGGACAAGATTCTACTTATGGATGGGTTTCTTGCTCCCCAAGTTTTTCAGTGGTTATTCTCCCAGTTTGGCGTTCCTCTTCTAGATACATTTGCCATCCATCTTAGTACCAAAATGTCCTCTTTTGGTCTCTGGTCTCACATCTTTAAGCTTTGATTGTAGATGCTTTAAGTTAGAATTGGACCAACCTTTAGGTCTATCCTCCTATCCATCTTCTCTCCCTTTGTTCTCTCCTTGATCCAAACCACTCTGTGTCGTGTCCTTCTCATTGCCCCATTCTGGCCTGCTTGACCATTTCAATTGTGATCTTTCTTCATTTGTCCCCTCCCTTACCTCTTTCACTTTGCCGATCCCTTCTCCATCAACCTCGATCCACCATAATTCATTCTGCTATCACCATACACTGACTTCACCTGTGGATTTTATCTGGTCCCTTGCGAGATGATCTGGACTCTCTTCACGTATCTTTGCGATGGGTGAAGAGTGTACCTGGTATGGATGGGTTGTGGTTTCCCATGGGTGTGACCTTATATATTAAGGTATCACACTCCATGGGTTCTCTACAGGTGCCTTCTTAAGAGTTCTTAGCTTGGTAACTTTTGCACTGGTCCCTCCTCTGTTTGAATGTGGGACTCTAGCTATTATGTGAGAATAGGTAATGCATCATATTGGGAGTTATAATTTTCCTGCACTGAAAATGTATTTCCAATAAATACTTGCTTCCTTGCACACTTCCTACTTGTTCTCCCTACTTCTGGTGCTTTCTTTTGACTAATTTCAAAGTGATGAAAGTACTCTGCAGTATAAAAGGAGTCAGCTGTGCTAGGAGGGTGTGTCACTTATTGGTGGAGGGTTGCTACAATGTTATTTGCATGCTACAGTGCAGCTATACTATGTATAAAGACATGAGGATAGGTGGGAATATTAAGGCTAGTGGTGAGCAAAACTTTTAATAATCATTACAAGTATGTTGTACACAAAAAAAATCAGAATTTTTAATAAAGAATTTCTATTAAAGATTTGTCTTTGAATTTAATTAGTCTGACTCGGACTCTGCTTGTATGATTGCAAGGTAATTTGTATGTTAAGAATGAAAATACTTAATGTCTTCTTACAGTTTTCAGATTTAATTTACATAACCTTTAATGTAACATAACCTTTAATTTAATTTACATAAATTCAATTTACAAAATAATTAGTTATTTTCTCAACCCTAACACTGTTTTGGTTTGGTCCTTTTGATTGACCTTGCAATCACCATAAAGAAAAATGGAATAAATTAAAAGTACCCTTTTATCTTTCTATAATGACTGCAGATGGTAACAGAAAATTACAATAATTTATCTAAGTAGCTAAGTTTATTGATATACATTGATAATAAAATAGCCTAATTAAATTTTGAATATGTGTAAAAGGTCATGACATGCACAATTTGACCCTCACTTGTGCACATAGTTTTAACTCTTACAAACTTTTCTAATTGTTTAGATAAAACTCTTGTCATATATGTCAAGCAAACAACCTCTTTGCCAATTTGATAAAATAAGCTTAATCATTATAATCTAATGAAGCAGTTTCACATTAGTGTATTCTAATTACCCATTTAAGCATGCAAGACATATCATGCCACATGTTTTGATACCTTTCTAGGTGTTTAATGTCATGTGGCAATGATAAAACTGTGGTAAAACTGATGGCAAATGGTAAATTTGTTAAGGTAACGTTCTGGAAGTTTCTGTATTTTTTAAATACTTAGTCACTGCCATTTTTATTTGGAAAGCTTTTTTAAAAAAATGCAAGAAGCTATACATTTTGATAATTGAATTTCAGTTAGTAACTGATGAGTATTCATACACAGAAATATTAGAAATAGAAGGCTAGTATATCAAGGTTTGCAGAGCCTTAAAAAGCATTGAAATTTAGCTCTA